GATCAGATCCCCTCTCAATCTTCTTTTCTCAAGGCTAAATAGACCTAGTTCACTTTAGCCTTTCTTCATAGGGGAGTGCTCCAGGCCCTTCACCATCTTTGTGGCCCTCTGCTGGACTCTTTCCAAGAGATCCTTGTCTTTTTTGTATTGGGGTCCCAGAACTGGACACAGTACTCCAGATGAGGCCTTACCAGGGCAGAGTAGAGGGGGAGGATCACCTCCCTCGACCTGCTGGACACGCTTTTTTTAACGCACCCTAGAATGCCATTGGCCTTTTTGGCCACAAGGGCACACTGCTGGCTCATGGCCAACCTGTTGTCCACCAGGACACCCAGGTCCCTCTCCTCAGAGCTCCACTCCAGCAGGTCATCCCCCAATCAGGTCTCGACCAGACTCTGCACCACCAATGACAACCCTCTGTGCTCTGCCAGTCAGCCAGTTCTCAATCCACCTCATTTCCACTCATCTATCCCACACTTCCTGAACTTTGTTGTGAGGATGTCGTGGGAAATAGTATCAAATGCTTTGCTGAAATCAAGGTAGACGACATCCACTGCTCTCCCCCCATCCATCCAGCCAGTGACAACATCGTAGAAGACTAACATGTTGGTCAAGCATGACCTCCCCGTGGTGATCCCATGCTGACTACTCCTGATAATCTCCTTTCTTCCAGTTGTCTGGAGATGGCATCCAGCATAAGCTGTTCCATCACCTTTCCAGGGACAGAGGTGAGGCTGACTGGCCTGTAATTACCTGGATCTTCCTTCTTGCCCTTTCTGAAGACCTGAGTGACATTGGCTATCCTCCAGTCTTCAGGCACCTCCCCCATTCTCTAAGACCTCTCCAAGATGATAGAGAGCAGTTCAGCAATCACCTCTGCCAGCTCCCTCAGCACCCGTGGATGAATCCCATTAGGTCCCAAGGATTTGCGAACATTGGTGTTGCCTAGGTGCTCTTGGACTGCCTCTTGGACTTCCCTGACTAAAGGGAAGTCTTCCATTCCCCAGATCCTCTCACTAACCTCCAGAGTCTGGGATTCCTGAGGGAGAATTTTTTCACTGAAGACAGAAGCAAAGAAGGCATTTAATATCTCCACCTTCTCAGCATTCCCCATTACCAGAACACCCCCTCACTTAGTAGGAGAGCCACATTCTCCCTAGTCTTCCTTTTACTGTTAACATACTTAAAATCTGAGTAAGAGTACTCTGTTTCTTTAGTCAGTCTTTTATATTAAATCTGTTGAAATCTCAGCTCAAATTGTGGAATGAGAAGAATCGGTCAAATAGTAGATATACTTGTTTATATTTTGATTAAGTAACTGACTGAATTTCCTATTCGTGACAAATGCACTTCAGTGTACCAAAGTAAATGTGCCAGTTGACAGTATTTAAATTTATATCACATGTTATCAAAGTGTTGCCTGGAAAACAAGATTTGCTGCAGATTTTTAACTATAAAAATTACAGTTTTTTATTTAAAAGACCATGAAAAAGCTTGTTCTTTTCTTAATTATAGCTTAGAGAGTTCCCTCTGGGCCTGAAACAGTAACTGTCCCTCTCACTTCCATTTAATTGTCAGAATTAAAATTTTTCTCATTTACAATTTGTAAAGAAAAATAGTTAAAATACCACTTCAGAAGACATACTCTGTTGAGAGAAACAATGAATTCTATTGTCTGTTATGAATATATTAAAGATGTCTATAAAAAGACTATTAGTGATAAAGTAAAAGGATATGAGTTTCTTCATACACAACTGACTTCAAAGGGTTATTTTTGAAACCAAATAAAATCTATGACGTATCTCAAAAATTATTTTGGGTGTGTGTGAGAAAGGCAGGTTTTTGTTCTACAATGACATAAAAATAAAACAAGTCTCAACTGATTGGTATTTGATTGTTAGCTGGGTAGTTCAGAGAGATTCAATATTCACTTCATAACTCAGTGATACTGAAGAACTATTATGGTAAATTCTTGCAAGAGCATTGGTATGTTTACTTTTCAGTAAAATAAATATTGATGTTCACCTTAGCTGTATGAACTATAAAGGACAGATAAGTATATCTTTTTAATTGTGAAATATGAAGAGTCAGTTAATATGGTTTTAGATTCTTCTTAAGGTGAAAGTGGTTTAGTAAATATTGAATGATAAAATGGATAGCCTTACATGCAATTTAATCTTAATCAGGAGATCAAATATTGTGAGAATGTGTATTAAATGAGTATAGGTGATACATACTTGTTTGTGAATCTCCAAAAAGAGATCTGTAGAACATTTACAGCATCTCTACTTTCAACACACAGTACTTGAATTAATGAATATTACAATTACAATTATCATGTCTTGTTTATACTGGTGACACTCTGTAATTTGAAGTTCTATTACTGGTGGTATATTTAACCCCTTGACAGTGTAAATATATGTTTATATGAGTTTCTTTTTTCCAAATCAGAAAAGGAGCTCATAACATGATGTGATTTTTTAAAAAATCTGTAAATATTGTATCATATTCTTTTTGAACGACCTAAACTTCCAGCATTATAGTCGTATAGGTATCAACATATGAGTAAACATTAGCGCTTTTGGAATGTGAAGCAAGAATATACAGAGGTCAGATTGGAGAGACATAATTGTAGGCTTTCTTCACAAAACTTATACTGTTGCTTACAGGATCATGAGACAGTAAATCTTTGGAGAGCCTACAAACATTCAGTGTTCTCTTACAGAAGTAAAAATCATGCACAAGTTTAATGTGGATAAATAAATACTGGGAACAAGGTCTACATTTTCAGGAAAAGAAAAAGAAGATTCAGAAAGGGAAGTAAATTTTTTTTCATTATACATATTTTTACTTTTATAATGAACTGTTTGTTATGCTACACTATGACAAATTGTGTAACAGTGAGACTGCATTCTAAAAATGCAGTTATACACAGACTTGATTTCTAAAATATGTGCTCTAAAACTGTAAGTTGTGAAAATTTGCCATTAATTATTTAAAATTGTAGGACTAAATAACATAAAATGATTTTTTAGGTTGCTAATTCCAGTACCAAGGTCATGCTTAAATGTGACTTCTGTTCTTTAAGAGTTTTTTTCATAAAAAGATTCTTCTTTCTGGATAAATGTAAATTTAAACTATTACATGCAGTGAAATTTAAAAATTTATTAGTGAAAAAAATACGTGCTAAATTATTGTTTTATTTTTAAATTTAAAAAAAATCATTTTTAAATATTACAAAAATTTTAGTATTACGAAAAGGAAATAACATAGTTAAATCCATATGCCAGCTTCATAGAGACTGAACTAATGGAAATAAAAAATTGTATGATAGAAATGTACCATTTCAAATCAAATGAAGGCCTCAGAAAATAAAAGCACGTGCCAGAAAAGTCTCCAATGCAATCTTTTTGCCACAAAAAGCTTGATTATGCCAAATAGAATCATATTTTGATCATTTTCACAACAGTTTAAACGTGTTACATAACAGAAATTCATATTGTTTTTCTCAGTGACTGCAACAGAACTACTTAAGAGTGCAAACATTAACCTCATGTTTATATGTTCGTAAGACCAAGTCCAATATTGAAATTAAAATAAAAACAGAACAATTCAGGAATTGTAGTCCAAGTGAAAGTAAATGTGAATTAGAGAGTTTATGTGAAGTTAGATGAAAAAGACTTCCAAATTTGGACAGTGAAAGCACAAAATACATTTTATAATAATAGGAAAACAGGAGGAATAATAGCAGTAATGCTCAAATAACCTCATTGCCTCATAATAAGTTACAATCTGAAGATTTTAAAAAGTAAATAAAAAAAAATAAAATGTTTACTCAATCATTTTTAGGATTCATAAGGAGGAAAAGATGGTGTGGATGCTTCTAATGATCCTCAAAATAAGTGGATGTAAGGACAGAAATGCTGAACACTATGCATAGTACAGAATAACAGGATGGCTTGACTGAAAGGATCATCTGATCCAATCTCCCTACTGAAGCAGGAATATCTGGACCAGATTGCCCAGGAGCATGTCCAGATGGCTTTTGAAGATCTCCAAGGAAGGAGACTCCACAACCATTCTGGGTTACCTGTGCCCATGCTCCATCAGCCACACAGCACAAAAGTACTTCCTGATGTTTAGTAGAGATCAGTGTTCCAGTTTGTACCCACTGCAGTTTGTCCTGTACCCACTGCAGGACATCACTGAAAAGATCCTGAATTCATCCTCCTTAGATCCTGTCTTCAGAAACGTTGTTAAGATACACCCCGAGAATTCTCCAAGCGGAAGCATCCTAGTTCTCTGTCTTTTTTTTTTGATGATATGAGATACTCCTACTCCTTAATCATATTTGTTTTGCCCTATACTGAACTTTCTCTAATATATCCATGTCTCATGTGGGACATGGGAGCTATGAAGTGGACACACTATTCCAGGTATAGCATCATCAGTGCTGAGTAGAGAGAGATGATCACTTCCCTCGAACAGCTCGCAGTAATTTGCCTAATGCAGACCAGGATACTGTTAACCTTCTTTGTGGACACTGTGTCCACCAGTAGCCCCAGGTCTTTGCTGAAGAGCTTCTTTCCCTCTGGGCAGTCCCCGTGAGGTTCATGTCAGCCCATTTCTTTGGCCGTTTTCAAAGTTTGCCAGGATGGCAGCATGACCCTCTGGCATAACAGTTACTCAGAATCACAGAATCACAGAATTGTAGGGGTTGGAAGGGACCTCCAGAGATCATGGAGTCCAACACCCCTGCCAAAGCAGGTTCCCTACACCAGGTCACACAGGTAGGCATCCAGGCTGGTCTTGAACATCTCCAGAGAAGGAGACTCCACAACCTCCCTGGGCAGCCTGTTCCAGTGCTCTGTCACCCTCACTGTAAAGAAGTTCCTGCACACATTTGTGTGGAACTTCCTATGCTGCAGTTCCCGGCCATTTCCCCTTATCCTGTCTCCACACACTGCTGAAAAGAGTCCGGCCTCGCTATTCTGCCCCCCCACACCTTAGATATTTATAGACCTGGATCAGGTCCCCTCTCAGTCTTCTTTTCTCAAGGGTGAACAGACCTAGTTCACTCAGCCTTTCCTCATAGGGGAGATGCTCCAGGCCCTTCACCATCTTCGTGGCCCTCCGCTGGACTCTTTCCAAGAGATACCTGTCTTTTTTCTACTGGGGAGCCCAGAACTGGACGCAGTGCTCCAGATGAGGCCTTACCAGGACGTAGTAGAGGGGGAGGATCACCTCCCTCGACCTGCTGGCCACGCTCTTTTTAGTGCACCCCAGTATGCCATTGGCCCTCTTGGCCACAAGGGCACACTGCTGGCTCATGGCCAACCTGTCGTCCACCAGGACACCCAGGTCCCTCTCCACAGAGCTCCCCTCCAGCAGGTCATCCCCCAACCTGTACTGGTACATGCAATTATTCCTCCCCAGATGCAAGACTCTACACTTGCTTTTGTTAAACCTCATCTGTTGTTTTTTTTTGTCCAGCTCTCCAGCCTGTCCAGGTCTTGCTGAATGGCAGCATGGCCTTCAGGAGTGTCAGCCAATCCTCCCAACTTTGTATCATCAGCAAACTTGCTGAGGGTGGCCACTATCCCTTCATCAAGGTCATTGATGAAGATGTTGAACAAGACCGGACCCAGCACCAACCCCTGAAGAACACCGCTGGTTACAGGCCTCCAACCGGACTCTGCACCACCAACAATGACCCTCTGCACTCTGCCAGTCAGCCAGTTCTCAGTCCACTTCACTGTCCACTCATCTATCCCACACTTCCTCAGCTTTGTTATAAGGATGTCGTGGGGGACAGTATCAAATGCCTTGCTGAAATCAAGGTAGACTACATCCACTGCTCTCCCCCCATCCACCCAGCCAGAGACACCATCATAGAAGGCTACCAGGTTGGTCAAGCACGACCTCCCCCTGGTGAACCCGTGCTGACTATTCCTGATAATCTCCTTTTCTTCCAGTTGTCTGGAGATGACATCCAGTACAAGCTGTTCCATCACCTTTCCAGGGACAGAGGTGAGGCTGACTGGCCTGTAATTACCTGGATCTTCCTTCTTGCCCTTTCTGAAGACCTGAGTGACATTGGCTATCCTCCAGTCTTCAGGCACCTCCCCCATTCTCTAAGACCTCTCCAAGATGATAGAGAGCAGTTCAGCAATCACCTCTGCCAGCTCCCTCAGCACCCGTGGATGAATCCCATTGGGTCCCATGGATTTGTGAACAATGGTGTTGCCTAGGCGCTCCCAGAACTCCTCTGGTTGTTTTTTTTGTCATTTGCAAACTAGCTGATTCTGCCTCATCATCCAGATTGTTACAGAAGGCATTCAACAGAAATTGATCCAGTATTGTCCCCATGAGTGTTGTGTGCTCCGAATGATGTCCCTCTGGGCTTGAATAAACAGCCAGTGGGTAACAAGGAATCATGATTTTATGCTACATAGAAGCGTGACATCTACTGGAGCAAATAAAACTTCATAATTTTTTTTTTTTTTTTTATTATGATATTATTTGGGGAACTGAATTTTTTCCATGAATCAGACACATCAGAAAAGAAGGAAATCTGATAAAATCCAGAAAATAAATAAATAAATAAATAAAGTGTGCATGTTAAAAATCAATACAAAAATGTTTCTAATATTATGCTAGTATGGTTGGGTAGCATTTCAACGGATGTACTTTGTTTGAAATTACTAACATATGTAAGAAAGAAAGAATATGACAAAAATCTTCAAAACAGATAATTACTTGATAACTGTGGAGACAGTGCTCTGCACTGAACCTGATTTACTACACAGATTTGAGACCATATGAAATGAAGGAATCTTTTTTTAAAACATGGGTAATGCATATATTTAATTTATAAATAAATTGAATTAAAATAATGTGTCCTAACTTTCAAAACAAACAAGCAAACAAATAAGAAAACTTAAAACAGATTTTGAATTTTATATCCAGCTATTTATCTCAAATTCTCAGGAAGCTGTATTAAAAAAAAAAAAAAAAAGTAATTAAAATTTGTATTATTCTACAGTTTCTCTATTTCAGTTAGATTAAAATGTACTTGTTTAAAACTCATTATCAGCATAATACCAAGGTATGTATCCTGTTATCCTGTTTTCTTTGTTTTTTTTTTTTTTTTTTTTTTTTACCCTTACCTTACTATCTGCACTTGGAATATTTGAAAACAATTTCCTGTCTTTTTAGTGACAATGATGTATAGTGTAATCAGAAAATACCTTAAACTTAGGTACTGACACTAAAGAGTCATTTATTTCACTTTTAAAATGCATTTAACTTTAACTTATAAAGCATACATATACGCTCTGTTCTTATTTCAAAATTCAATCCATTTTTAAAATCTAATTTAAAATGAGTTTTCCACACATTTGAATAATGCTTGCAATATCATCAGTATAAAAACTTTTTCAAAGTCAGACTTAAGGAGACTAATTCTACCTCTAAATATCTTCAGTTTTACATGGAACATATCTGTGTTTTGACACAGATATTAAAGTACATTTTATTGTACCAGTTATTCAATCGTCTCTGAATAGTTCTATTTTGAATGCTATGGTATGCTCTGGATAACGGGAAGATGTGCATTTAAAATTTGCAGCAAGAAAAAATACTATCCATTTCAACAGAACCATGCCTACTAAACCGTCCCCCAGTGCCACATCTGTACATTTCTTCAATACCTCCGGGGACGGTGACTCCAGCACCTCTCTGGGCAGCCTGTTTCACTGTTTGACCATTCTTTCTGAGAATAAATTTTTCCTAATATACAACTTGAAACTCTTCTGGAACAACTGGAAGCTATCACCTATGATCTGACCACTAGCTACCTGGAAGAAGAGACAGATCCCCACCTCACTACAATCTTTTTTCAGGTAGCTGTAGAGAGCCAGAAGGTCTCCCCTGATCCTTCACTTATCCAGACTAAACAACCCTAGCTCTCTCAGACGCTCCTCATAAGACTTGTATTCCAGTACTCTCTCCAGCTTGTTGTCATTCTTTGAATAGGCCTCAATGTCTTTCTTGCAGCAAGACCCAAAATCAAACACAGGGCTTGAGTTGTGGCTTCATCAGTGCTGAGTACAGAGCAGTGTTCACTTCCATGGTCATTCTGGTTGGGCTGTTTACAAGATGGAAGTGCACAAGCCAGGATACCACTGGCCTTTTAGCCACTTGAGCACACTAATGTTTCATATTCAGATTTTCTACTGACTAACACCCTAGATTCTTTTCCATTTCTCAACTGTCCAGCTGCTCTTCTCAAAGCCTGTATCATTGCATTGTGTTGTTGTGACCAAAGTGCAGGATTTGCACTTGGTCTTGAAGCTCATACAGTTAGTTGGTTTGTGTCCATCCGTCCATTCTATTCAGATCACTCTGTAGAGACTTCATCAGGCAGATCAACACTTACTCCAGCTTAGTGTCATCTGCAAACTTACTGAGGATACACTCAAATTCCATCATCCAGATCATAAATAAATAGATTAAATCAGATGGGACTTTGAGAACGCCATGGCAGGCTGCCAGCTGGATTTGACTCCATTCAGGTTTGAAAATAAATTGATTAATATAAAAATAAATGTGCTAATTTTTTATTTTATTTTATTTTATTTTATTTTATTTTATTTTTCTAAAATCTCAATCCGTTGGAAAAGAGAAATTAAGGGGCAAAAACAGTAAAAGAGTATGGACGCTTACAGAACAGAATGGAAAATGGAGCAATTACATGCTTCAGTAATAAATGTAAACAACTGTTCTACATCTACTCTCACTATATCAGTCTTTAATCTTGCAACCTAATGTGATTCTACAATGAACAAGTGTTATTATTACAGATGTGAAATTTAATTATACTCACATTAAAACTTTTAAATAGATATCCAGACTGATCACAGAACAGAAATATCTTAAGAAATGAAAAGTAATTATTTAAATGATTTTTTAAAAAAATTATCAAATTACCATGAAATATCTTAACGAACTCATTTTCGAACTCAAAAATATGTGCTTTTAATTCATATGTATGATTTGCCATCAGTGTGGAAAGGATTAAAATACAATTTCAGTAACTATTAGAACATGAGCACTGAATCATCAATGTTACTTAGGAAACATTATTTACCTTAATAAAATTATGATAATATAATGCAACATGATTTTAATGCATACTTGGAAGTTAAACTGAGCACCAAGATCATGTAGATTTTTGTGAAAATATTGAAACTATCAATATTTAAGAAGGATTATTTGCAAAGAAAAACAAAAAATAAATATTTGTAAAACAATATAAAATAGATGAGTAAAATTTTTCATTTTTTAGTCTTTGTTATTTTTTAATGATTGTTTTTCTCCAAGTCACCCACAGAAAATTACAGCAAATATTTTTTGATCACTGAAATCTCTTGACTGATTAATTACAAAAATGAGACCATTAAATGTTAAGTAATCCTAATTGATCTGTTAAATACCTGTCAGAGTGAGTAAGAAGAAAACATGTTTGAGAATCATGGAATATTGTTTTCCTTATTAATTTCTAAAATGCAGCTGAGTGCTTACACACTTATTTATTAATATCACACATGTATTAATATCTGCATTATCAAGTTTTGAGAAAGGGTGAATGAAGCTTTAAACTGCTTTTTTTGTTCGTTTGCTTGTTTGTTTTGTCTTAACAGTTCCATGTAATTGAGGACAACATGCATACATATATGGCTGAGAGACGTAATTAGCTTGGATGCATTTTCTAACTTGCATGACTTAAGCAAGATTGCTTCTCCCACTGTATACCAACTTATTCCTTATTCTGGTGTTGCTTAACATTTTTCAGGCTTTTTTATATCTATCTATGTAGCTATAATATAATATCTGTGTATCTATAATACACTTAATCAAACTGTTGTTCAAGGAACATTATAAAATAATGAAGAATATCTTGAAATCATTGTAATTTTCTCAAACATTATAAAAGGTGGATAGGTAGAAAATGGGAAGACCTTTATTAATGTATTAATATACATTATGTGTGGAAGATTTTATATGTATAGAGATAACGCATGAACTGAACTGATAACTTTTAAAGGAACATTTTTATTTATATTTTCTGATTGATTTTTTTTTTTTTTTTTTTTTTTTTTTTTTTCAGAATAGTTAGCTAATTATCTCACACAATAAGCTTGCGTGTCTTCTTGAATAAAGAAACTCCAGTCTGAAACTGAACCCGAATGGTATGGTTTTATCAGTATATTCATCAAACCTAACCCTCTAGATCTCTTCCTATCTGATGCTTTTCTTATCTTACACTTCTTCAACTCAGAACCACCAGTACAAAATTT